CTAGTCAGGGTACGACTTTTGTATCATCTTTTAGACCATTTTTGGGTATCCTTGACTATTCATTAATTTTCGCCCAGAATCCGCGTGTAAGAGGACATGCCCGACCTGAGGTCATTCGGACCCCTCTTGGCGGAATTTTGGGGTCTTGAATAGTCGGGCCCGTCTTTTTACAGGAGGAATATTCCAAACTAGTAAAAAATAGTCTGGGTACTATTTTCCGAATATTTTGCAACCATTTTGGAATCTGCTTTGCATATTTTCAATTTTTCGTCGAAAATCCCCCTGTAGGGGGACACGCCCGACTTAAGTCTTGAAGGCCATCATGTGGGGACGGTTCCCGGGGTCCCTGCGAGTTCTCCCTCGTGGGCCTCTATTGGGGCCCACTTGAGGTCTTGGCTGGCCGTCTGGGGTTGTGGAGGACGATCAATGGAGAGGAAGCATGCTGCCAAACAATTTCCAGATGCCTAAATCATGCGTGACAGATGTTTTAAGCATGTAAAAACATGGCTTAAACATGCTTAGAACATTATTCCGACATTTTAAGCACATTTTAAGTTCAATGATAGGACTGTTAGGGTTTCAATTGTCGTGGCATCCACAAGTCTAGGGGCCCTGCTTACTGCCCTCTCCAAGCCTTCTTTGCTTGGATATTCGGAGGTCGGAACTGGTCGAATAACACATTAGTCAGAGCACCAGTCAGCATTTGCTTTGCAGGCGCACGCTTCTGACACATGATTGCACTGCGTGACGAGCAGCCTTGTCACGAAACATAGTTTGGCAGCTGGTGTTTGTTCCTCTCGCGAGGCAGCGCCTGGGGAGTGCATCCTCTCTGCTTCCGCTGTCCCCGCCCCGTCGCAGGCAGTCATCGCCAAGCTGCAGTCCTTCGCGGCGTCCAAGGACCGAGGGCGCGTTTCTGCGGGTGTGGGCGTGCCCTGCGGCGCGCACGCCGGGTCCTCCCGCAGCCCGTGAGCGCGTGCTTGCGCTTGGCTTCAGGTTTGCCTCACATCCGGGGACGGTAATCTTAAGTCGGGCCTGTCCCCCTACAGGGAGATTTTCGACGAAAAAGTCAAAAACACCCAAAATAATCAAAAAAGAGTCAAAAAATAGTCTGGGGACTTTTATTGGACTATTTTGTTGGCCTTTCTGGGGTATTTTGGAGGTATTTTTTATTTTTCGTCGAAAATCCCCGTGTAGAGGGACAAGCCCGACTTAACGGTAATCCCAAAGCGCGCCCACAGGAGGGCGCTGGAGCGAGGGGGGGCAGCCTGCATGCGCGCGCACTCACGCAGGCACACTGCCAAGGTGGTTCTCTCTGGGAGGCGAGGGCCGTCTGTGGGGCCGGTCTTCGCCAAGGGAAGGGGTGGCGAGGAGGAGGGGGAAGATTGAGAGGGAACGAGGGCGGCTGGATTCGATCAAGACATGTGCGTCGTCGGCATCATCTGCAAAAGGGAGTGGTGGTTTGGATCCGTGCAGGACCGCATTCTGCTGCATCCCCACGAGCTGCGGAAGGCCAGGCAGTTGCGCAGCTGGCACCACCCGGGGAGGGACGTCCCCTTTCCTGACCCGAACGAGACCCGCACTCCCCTGGGCGCCCCACGAGCGCACGAAAGTGCCGGCAGCTTTGCAGCTGCCAGCGCCAAGGGAGTCGTGGGCGACGAGCATATCAGGATCCGCGGCCTCGCTGGCCCGGCCCCGGGGCCGCGACCCCGAGGATGCGGGGCGCTTCTGTCGCGAGTGCCCCGCGCGAAGCCCAGCCGTGCGACCGCGCATCCGCGGCACTGCGCCCCGGAGTGCAGACCGCGAGGGCGCGGAGGCGGACGCGTGCACCGCTCGTGGGAGAGACAGAGAGAGAGAGAGAGAGAGAGAGAGAGAGAGGCACGCAGGAGCGATCCGAGCAGGACCGCTCCTCGCTGGACACCCCAGGAGCTCACGAATGTACCGACACCTGCAGAGTTTGCAGCACCCAGGGAGGCCAGTGATCATATTTACACAGATATATGTAGATATGCATATATATATATATATTAATATGCACATGTATGCCTATATACACATATATATATGTATATATATATATATGCATGTATAAATATACATATATACATACATGCACACATATGTATTATAGCATATACAATATATATAGAGACATATACACACATACATACATGTATTCACATGCACGCATGGATATCTCTGGTGGCGCTCGGCCCATCCCACGAGGGCCTGCGGCGGCCCTCGTGCACCGCCGCCCCAGCGGACCGTGGTGTGCTCTGCCCTCTGCTGGGCACCTGGGCAGGTCCACCCCTAGGGGGCGTGGATATAATCTTAAGTCGGGCCTGTCCCCCTACAGGGGGATTTTCAACGAAAAGATTAAAAAAACATACCCCCAAAATAGTCAAAAACTAATCCGAAAATACTTTGGGGACTATTTTTTTAGTATTTGTGGACTTTCTTGGGGCAGTTTGTTGGGTATCTTTTATTTTTCGTCGAAAATCCTCCGGTAGGGGGACACGCCCGACATAAATATAATCGTGCGTCGCGGCCTGGGTCGGACAGCTGACCTTCTCCAGGGGGGCGGTGCGAGGATGTGCGAGTAGAGTCGCGCACCGCAGGGCGCGGCGGTCCAGACGGCTTGCGCTTTCCCTGGGTCGGCGTCGCCAGCCTCCTGGCCTGGCGCCGCCCCTGGCACGCTGCGCGCGCCAGGAGAGGACGGTCCAGCGCCGATGCAAGAAGTCCGCTCGGATTTCCGACAGTTTGTGCTCCCAGACATCTGAAGGACATTTCGTGCTCAATCTCGGCGTTTGGTCTGGTTTGGCCCTGGGGGTCGTTCTCGGGCCCTAGGACTATCAACCAAAGGATCGGGTAAGAAAAAGTCACCCCGGGAAGGGGGCCCATACCTCCGTGGCCTCGGATGAAACAAAAGACATCTGTCATATCTAGGTGTTGTTTGTTTTTTCGTTGCTCAGTTCTCGCACTTGGGTCACCGTAGGGGTCGTGGTCATAAGGGAAGGCTACGGAGGATTATGAGGACGTATGGCCGAACCGAGCTCATCAGTGGGTTGCATGTCCCCTGAGTGGCGTGTGCCGGCGGGGGTAAAGATATTGGTCAAGTGGGCGTCGTCCACATAGCGGAGTTACCCCTGAGCCACGCAGGCCCGTAGTTCTCTTTTACGCTAGGTCAGGCCATGCGTCACCCACCTCAACATCCACTCATGATCACCGTATCCCCTTTATCCCCCCCGCGCGTTGGGACAACTGCATACAGAGAGGGAGGATGAGTAGGCGGAGGAGGAGGAGGAGGAGGCGTAGGAGGAGGAGGTGGAGGAGGCGGAGGAGGAGGAGGAAGACGAGGAGGATGATGATATGATGATGATGATGAGGAGGAGGAGGAGGAGGAGGAGGAGGAGGATGGGTTGGAGAATGAGGGGGGGAAGGAGGGGAAGGAGGGGCAGGACGAGGAGGAGGGGGAGGAGAGGGGATGAGGCGGGGGAAAGAGGAGGAGGAGGGGGAGGAGGAGAGCGTGGCCAGAGGAGGAACATATCTCAACACCGCAGCTCGCCCACAGGTCTAGGTCAGTAGAGAAAACCAACATTGTCTTTCCAAGAGTTGCAGAGTGCGAATAGTTGCTCGGTCGCAGCTCTGGTAGCAGACTGATTACAGGCGCCTCCATACTCCAGACTAAAGCTCCTGATTATTTCCCGTCGCAAGAACGCAGCTCTTCCCAGGGTCCACCGCCCCCGCCCATCCCCCATTGTTTCGGGACGCAGGCGTGGGGCGGCTTCGCAGTTTCGATTGCCTGCCCCCCCTACCCTGGTACCTGTTGCCCCGGGAAGGCCGCACAAGGAACCGCTTGCAGTTGCCGCAGGCGGCTTGTACGACGACCGCGCACGGCCCCGAGCCTCGGCCCCGCTGTCCCGCCGCCGCCGCCAGACGCAGCGGCCCCCTGCGGCGGTCGGGCGCGGCTGCCCGCGGCAGGACCAGCGTCGGAAGGGCGCAGGGCTCATGCTGGAGCTGTGCGAGCACATCTGGGGGCTGGTGGCCGACCTTGAGGCGGTCGTCGTCGTTGTCCTCGTCCTCGTCGTCGTCCTCCCGAACGGTGTGTGTGTGCGTCGGAGCAGAATAAACAGCATGAACATACACTTTCAGAGTTCCCCGATGATTTCTCGGATCGGCGCCAGGCCCTCCCTGGGTGCGCCTCTGGCGCCGCCCCTGACGCGCTCCACGCGCCAGGGAGGGGGGGGCTGGGGGGTCCCAGCGCCGATGCAAGAACTCCGCGCGGAGCTCCCAAAGTTTCTGTTGGTGCAGTTGTTTGTTTCTCTGGATCGGTGGTTGTGCGCACATGTTCTTGCAGCGAGGCCCGCGAACAGTAGGAGGAGGTGCCGATCTTCTTGTCGCCGCACGCTCGGGCGCGCCGACCGGCTCGCAGTCGCCGCAGTCTCCCGTGCGCCGCTGCTGCCCGCTCGCCGTGCCATCCCAGCCTGGCCACCCGGGCTCGACGGCTTCCTGGCCAGCCAGCCAGCCTGGCCACCTGTGTCCTGACCGTCGTCCTCCTCTCTCCCTCCCCTCCTCGAAGGTCGAGTCTTGGGGGCCTTTCCCCTCGGCGATCGGTGCGCCTCCCCATCTGCGAGGACCGAGCTTCCTGTCTCGTGGTTCTGACTCGGTCGGTGCTCGGAGGGGCTTCGGCGTTGATCTGAGTGGCCTTCGCCCCGAGGCCCCAAGTGACCTTCAGAAGCCTCTTGCTCCTCCCTTTTTTGTCCTCCTCCTCGAGCACGTGCTGGTGTTCTTCCTCCCCATCCTCGGGATGCATGGTCGCACGGGGCGGCTCTGCTGCTTCCGCCCCCCGTCCTCGTCTCCCCCCTCCCTCTGGGGCTCCGGGGCTGGGTCGGGTGGCGCCGCGTCGGCATCGGAACCATGGGGGGCCAGCTGCTGGCCGACGAAGCGTCCGCGCTGCATCCTGGCCCCCCGAAGCGAAAGTCAACAACACATCCCCCTGTGTCTCCGGATCGCCGGTGGGAGCGGGAAGGAGGAGGGGGAGGAGGAGGAGGAGGAGGAGGAGGAGGAGGAGGAGGAGGGGGGGGGAGGAGGAGGAGGAGGAGGAGGAGAAGCGGGGGGGGGAGGAGGAGGAGGAGGAGGAGGAGGAGGAGGAGGAGGAGGAGGAGAGGAGGGAGGAGGAGGAGGAGGGCGAGGGCGAGGGGGATGGTTGTTGGCCGTGATGCGCCGCAGCGGCCGTGCCGACGGGGCCGGCCGGGCACGTAGTAAGTGGCACGTGTGTGCCCATACAAAGAGCAGGGGCAACGTTAGTCAGGAGGGAAAAAAAAACACAGACACAATGAATCGTCGAGTCCCAGGAAAATATAGGAAAAAATGGGAAGTGGGGGGGAAGACACAAACCCAGAAACTATGGGGAACTGCGGGGGATCCTGTTATTTGTGTGTATTTATTTGTGTGTCGCAGGGCTCCTTCAGGTATAGACTCTGGGGAGGGTGGGGGGGGCATCGACCACCAATCGCCCATTGATCGCCGATAGTGGGCTGATAGCCCACTCCGCCCAGAATCGTCGGGTTTTGGTATCGGGAGCCCATCGCCGATGTATCGGCGGTGTATTGCCGATTCCAGCCCGATGTTCCCCCCCTGGGCCGGTCCCAACTACGTAACGTTCCCCCTCGGATGGTATTGCCACAGCTTGCGATTGGACGAACAGTTTCAGGAGCATCTCCATGGGCATGACAACAGCAAGGTTGAGAGCAAAGCAAGCACCCCCCTTTCTTTCCTCCGTGTTCTCGCCCTAGTTGCGTCGCCCTCCTCGTCCTGCGCATTCCTCCTCTCTAACTCCTCCTTCCCCTCCTCCTCCTCCTCCTCCTCCTCCTCCTCCTCCTCCTCCTCCTCCTCCTCCCCCTCCTCCTTTTTCCTCCCTCCTCCTCCTCCTTCTCCTTCACGGACGCGTCGTGGGATCCCCCTCCTTTCTCTTTGGCACATTTCTCCTCTCCTGCTTCCTCCAGCTCAAACCTCGTTCTCCTCCTGCTCCTCCTCCTCCCGGTCCTGCATTCGATGCTGCTCCTCGCTCGGCTCGTTTTGCCGCTCGTGCGCCCCCTCTCCCCACGCCCTCTTCTAATTTTATGGTTTGTATTCGAGTCTGATTGGTACGTCGACCCTGCCAAGTCAAGCCAAAAATCAAGGGTACCCTCGCGTCCTGTGTTTAGCGGCCCATGACAATGTGGCCCTCGGAAGGGCCTTGTGTCCTCTCGCGTGTCCTCTCCAACCGTGCTCGACTGTAGTCCTTACCTTGGCGCGACTTGCGCGCAGACTCTGAGAACATCGCCCCCGTGGCTGGTTGGGTGTTCGGCAGCGGGGGGCCATACAGGAGGGGGTGGCGTCACCTCCACATACTAGCATCGAGCAAGACAATTGCATTACTATAAACTTTCGGCGCGCCGCGTGGATTTCTTGAATCTGCGCTGGAATCCCATGGCGGCGCCTCCAGCGCCGCCCATGGCGCGCTCCGCGCTCCAGGGAGCGAGGTTAAGCGCCGATCGAAGAAATCCGCGCGGACCTCCAGCAGATAATGTTTATCGAAGACGCCTACGGCGAATCACCGCCGCCCCCTGCCTTTTGGAAACGCCGATGTGGCCGAAAGTTGGACTAGAGCTTGGCCAAGCTATCGGACCATGAGTTCCCCGAGTCGGTTTGGAAAGCTTTCGGGGAACACATGGGAGAGAATGATTATGAACAGGAAGAGGAAGAGGAAGAAATAGAGTAGGAGGATGAGGGTTGTTAGGAGTCTCTTGGGGCACCCTTGGGGTCTGTTGGGGGCTTCTTGGGGGCCTCTTCGAGGCCTCTTGGAGGCATCTTGGGGGCCTCCTTGGGCCTCTTGGGGGCCTTTGGGGGCTTCCTGGGGGTCTCTTTGGCCGTCTTAGGGCGTTCCTGGTCCGTCTGACGCCGTCTGGAGCCGTCTTGGGGGCCTCTCTGGGCCGTCTTGGGGCCCTCTTGGGGCGCTTCAGGGCCGTCTTGGAGGCCATGTTGGGCGTCTTGGAGGCCTCTTGGGCCGTCTTGGGGCGCTCTTGGGGCCGTCTTGGGGGGCCCTTGGGCCGTCATAGGGCCTTCTTGGAGGCCTCTTGGGCGATCTTGGGGGCCTCTTGGGCCGTCGGAAGGCCGAAAAGAAGAAAACGCAAAAACCTTCAAAAACCTAAGGAAAACCAATGATTTTGGCCTCTTCGGGCTCTCCTGGAGAACGTCTTGGAGGCCTCTTGGGCCATCTTGGAGGCATCTTGGGGCCATCTTGGCCGTCTTGGAGGGCATCTTGGGCCGTCTTGGAGGCATCTTGGAGCCATCTTACCCGTCTTGGAGGCCATCTTGGCCGTCTGGGAGGCATCTTGGAGGCCATCTTGGGCCATCTTGGCCGTCTTGGAGGCCATCTTGGGCCAAGTTGGGGCAACAAAGGCATTGACAGACGGATTTTGGGAAAATCACGGGTGGCCGGCGGGACGGGCCGAAGCCCATTGGGGAGTTCTTTTAGAAAAAGAACCAAAACCAAAACCTGAAACATCCAGCACGCCGTGCACCCCTGCAAGCAGGGGGCGGCGGATCTTGTACTTCGGCCCATCCTGCCACCGTGCCTGGGTCGTGGGTATGCAGCCTATGTGATGTTCGTTGGGAACTCATGGGGCGCCTCTCGGGGGCCTCTTGGAGGTAGATTGGACGCCTCTTGGTGGCCTTTGGGGGTCTCTTTTGGGCCTCATGGGGGCTCTAGGGGCCTCTTGGGCGCCTTCTGGGGGCCTCCTGGACGCCTCCTGGACACCTCTTGGGGCCTCCTGGGCGCTTCTTTGGGCGGAAGGCTCGGTTTTTCTGTTCGTGTTTTTCTCTCAGGCCCATTTTGGGGCCATCTTGCAGCCTCTTGGGCCGTTTTGGGCGCTCTTGGGTGGTCTTGGGGCCATCTTGGGCCGTTTCGGGGCCCTCTTGGAGGCCTCTTGGCCCGTCTTGGGGCCTTATTGGGGGGTCCCTAGGGCCATCTGGGAGCGTCGGGAAGCCGAAAATGCGAGAACGCCAACACAACATCTTTCAAAAACCTTAGGAAAATCAGAAATTCTGGCCTCTTCGGGCCCTCTTGGAGGACTCGTTGGGCGTGTTGGAGGCCTCTTGGGCTGCTTTGGGGGCATCTTGCGCCTCGGGGCGATCTTGCGGCGACTCGGGGCCCTCCTGGACCGTCTTGGGGGGGCCTCTCGAGGCTCTCTTGGCCCGTCTCTGGCCCCCCTTTGTGCCCGAACAGGCCGCGCGGCAAGATGCGGGGGAGCCCAGGGGGGCACGCGGGAAGCGGGTTTGAGATTTGGGGGTCCGGGCCCTTAACGACCCCTCAGGAGTTAGGACTGAGGCTTACAGTGGGCCCGGATCGGTAGGTCGACCCTGCCAGATCGAGGGTGCCCTCGTGTCCCGTGGCTCGCGGCCAGTGCCTCCTGCATTCCTGTGGCAGTGTGGCCCTCGGAAGGGTCTCGAGTCCTTTCCGCGTGCCCGCTCCAAATCAGGTCCGACTGTAGAGGGCTGCGCAGAGGACCTGCGGGCTCGCCCACTCCGTGCCCCAAGGCGCGGTGGCGGATGTGGTCTGTGCTCCTCCTCCGTCGTCTTACGCCCAGGGGCGCTCGCGCGCGTGCGCCGAGAGGCCTTCTAGTGTCAGCTCCGCGGCGGGCGCGCTCTGGTCATATCGCTCGGAGAAGTGTACACCAACAACATCGAAATCCCACAAGATGGTCGTACTGTATGCTTGGTTCGGACGGGCGCATCCGAGGAGAGCGCAAAGTAACATCAGGTCATTCTGCGTCACGTGCTGGGGGTCGACCCCGCCGCCAGCTTTCAACAATGGACGCCGCCAGCGACCCAGAATCTCGGGCAGAGCAAAAGGGGGGGATAGGGAAAGGGGGGGTTACGAACTCAGCTGCATGCAGCTGGTTTCGGCCCCACCGAGGGGCCCATTCCTCGATACATTGGCCGCCTCCGGTGCCGGGAGGCGCCTGGGAAATCAGCTGCGCGAGCTGATCCTCAAGCACCCCCTCTGCTATCCCCCCCTTTTCGCCCGGCCCGAGAATCCGTGGACGATGCACGATCTGGCGTCTCGGAAGCGGCCAAGCCTTCCAGGCGGAGCGGTCCCCGAGGCGTCGGGAGAGCCCGCGCCGCGGGGGGGCACGGCGCGAGCCTCCTGCCGTGCCGCGCGACGCCGCATCGGCAGTCAACGCTTGGCGCCGCGCTGCGCGGGCTACGCCGGGCCGGGCACGTCCCTCCACAGGAGGAACCTTCACGAATCAGCAGCACGTCGTCCGGGGACGAGGTGTTTTTAGGAGTCGTTTGGAGCAGTCTCGAGTCTGTCTCCCCACCCTCCTGTGGTGTTTGGTCCTCGTTCTGAAGCGACGGCGCCCCGCGCCACTCCTCCCGCCGCCCCCCCTCCCCCCTCATCTTCCACCACTCCGGCACACACCCCTCACACGCTTCGTGGCCCCATAGGGAGCTCCACCGGAGGTCCCGGTGGCGCAGTCCGCATGGCGGCGCCGCCCCATGCTGGCACCCCTCTCGCACGTTTCGTGCCCCCGTAGGGAGGGAGCTCCAGCGCCGCCCCACTTTGGCACACCGTCTCGTGGCGCGACAGGGAGCTCCACCGAAGGTCCCAGGGGCGCGGTCCGCATGGCGGCGCCGCCCCATGTTGGCACCCTTCTCACACGCTTCGCGGCACCATAGGGAGCTCCACCTAAGGTCACAGTGACGCAGTCCGCATGGCGGCGCCGCCCCATTTTGGCACACCGTTTCGTGACCCCATAGAGAGCTCCACCCAAAGTCCCATTGGCGCAGTCCGCATGGTGGCGCCGCCCTATTTTGACACACGCCTCACACGTTCCATGGCCCCTTGGGGAGCTCCGCCCTGCCCTGTTTCGGCACTTTCTTCACGCGCTTCGTGGCCCCATGCGGAGATCCACCGAAGGCGATACTGACAACGATTGTCTCCACAACTGCGTATGGTTGGGTCCGTCGCCAGGCTAATTTGAGCATTCATTATTTAATCGCTTCGCTCATTCCGCCGGCCCTTGAGCGCTCTATGGGGCCTCTTTGAAGCCTCTTGGGGGCCTCTTTGGGGCCTCCTAGGGGCCTCTTGGGGGCCTCTTGGGGGTCTCTTGGGGCTTCTTCGCGGCGTCTTGAGGCCCCCTTGGGTCTCTTTGAGTATTCCTTTCTTTTTCCCCGAAAGGGCGTAGGCCAAGGGTTCTCTTTTAGCTGTTTACCCCCGGGTCTGACGGGAAGAGGGCCGGCGGATTTCTTTTGCGATAAATAACGAGTGGGAAGAGGGCCGGCGAATTAGAATTTGAGGATGTCCCTAGCGAAATGCTTGTTGTTCAGAATTTGTTGAGGATGTCTCGAGCGAAACGCTTGTTTTGTGTTATAGATTGTCTTCTCCTGGGGACCAGAATGTAGAGGATCTCTCAAGTGAAATGATTGGTTTCACGTGCCCAGGTCTTGAGGATGTCTCGAGCGAGACGCTTGGTTTCACGCCTCCAGGTTGCCCAGGCAGAGGTCACGCCCCAGGATTTGTTGAGGATGTCTCGAGCGAGACGCTTGGTTTCACGCGTCCTCGTCGTCCAGGCGGATGTCTAGAATGAGGAGGTGTTGAGGAAGTCTCGATCGAGATGCGTGTTTGCACGTGTCCAGGTTGCCCAGGCGGATGCCTAGCATGAGGATGTGTTGAGAATGTCTCAAGCGAAACGCTTGTTTTCACGTGTCCAGGTCGCCCAGGCGGATGTCTAACAGGAAGATGTGTTGAGGATGTCTCGAGCGAGACGTTTGCTTTCACGTGTACAGGTCGCCAAGTCGGATGTCTAGAATTAGGAGGTGTTGAACACGTCTCGAGCGAAACGCTTCTTTTCACGTGCCCAGGTCACCCAGGCGGACGTCTCACATGAAGATGTGTTGAGGATGTCTCGAGCGAACTACTTGTTTTCACGTGTCCAGTTCGCCCAGTGTCCAGTTTCACGTGTCATTGGTACGAGCGACGTGTCCAGTTCGCCCAGGCGGATGTCTAGCATGAGAGTGTGTTGAGGATGTGTTGAGCGAAACGTTTGTTGTCACGTGTCCAGGTCGCTCAGGCGGATGTCTAGAATGATGCTTTTGACAGGATGTCTCCAGCGAAACGCTTGTCCCCAGCACGTTCCGTAGCGCGTCCCCTTGGCAAGTCCTACGGTGCGACCCCATGGCACGTTCCCTGGCACGTCGCCTGGCGCGTCCCTTGGGACGTTTCGCGGCGCGTCCTCCTGACATGTCCCCCTGTCAATTAGCTCTGGGGCAGCTTCTATGTGTTTAGGCAGCTCGAGCTTAAGATTCAGATCAGTTCGGTCAGGACTCGGATGCAAAGGAAGACTCGATCCACGACGCTATAGAGCACAACCGCGGCATGACACATCGCAATTCAGCACGGTGCAGCACAGCACAGTCTTCGGCACGGTACATCAAGATCGATACAATCAGCATTGCATTTGCCCGTCACCCGATCAGGCGTCTTTGAAAACGTTGCCATGCGTTACATGTCTATATTACTTTCCGGGTTCGTGGTTCGATCATGTTGAGGATCTCTCGAATGAAACGCTTGTTTTTTTCAGAATTTGTTGAGGATGGCTCGAGCGAAACGCTGGTTTTGCAGAGTTGGGGATGTCTCGAGCGAAACGCGTGTTTTCAGAAATTGTTGAGGATGTCTCGAGCGAACCGCTGGTTTTGCAGAGCCGACCGCAACGCGGAAAAGCGCCCCGCGCGTGTCTCGACTAATTCGCTTGTTGTTCTAGGATTTAGCTTCACGGTGTTGAGTTGTTGCGTGCCCGCTCGAGGATGGTGCGCCCCCCGCGCCAAAACGTCGAGGATGTCTCGAGCGAAACCTGGGTGCCCCAGCATGCCCCAGGAGGCCCTGGGAGCGCGGACGCGGTGTAATCTACGAGGGATCGTTGCGTTGGGAGCGCGGACCACGTGTAATTTGCAAGGGATCGTGGCCCTCGGAGCGCGGGCGCAGCGTAATTTACGAAGGGTCGGGGCCTTGGGAGCTTGGACGCGATATAATTTACGAGGCATTGCCCTTGGAGCGCGGGCGCAGCGTAGAATACGAGGGATCGGGGCCCTGGGGGCTCGGATGCAGCGTAACTTACGAAGGATCGTGGTCCTGGGAGCGCGGACGCAGCGTGATTTACGGGGTCGGGGCCTTGGGAGCGCGACCCCAATGTAATTTACGACGGATCGTGGCCCTGGGAGCGCGGACGCAGCGTAATGTACGAGGGATCGTGGCCGTGGGAGCGCGTCCCGTGGCACGTCCATTGGCACGTTCCGTAGCGCGTCCCCTTGGCACGTCCCGCGGTGCGTTCCCATGGCACGTCCCCTAGCACGTCGCCTGGCGCGTCCCTTGGAACGTTCCGCGGTGCGTCCTCCTGGCATGTTCCCTTGCCAATCAGCTCTAGGGCAGCTACTGTGTGCTCGGGCAGCTCGAGCTTAAGATCCAGATCAGGACTCGGACGCAAAGGAGGACTCGATTCACAACACTATAGGGCACAATCGCGGCATGGCACATCGCAGTTCAGCACGGCTCAGCACAGCACAGCCCTCGGCACGGTACATCAAGATCGATACAATCAGCATTGCAACTTGTCACGTTCCTTGGCACGTTCCGTGGCGCGTCCCGTGGCGAGTCTTCCTGGCACGTCGCGCGGCGCGTCCCCTGGCACGTCCCGTGGCACGTCCATTGGCACGTTCCGTATCGCGTCCCCTTGGCACGTCCCGCGGTGCGTCCCCATGGCACGTCCCCTGGCACGTCGCCTGGCGCGTCCCTTGGGACCTTCCGCGGCGCGTCCTCCTAGCATGTCTCCTTGCTAATCAGCTCTAGGGCAGGTACTATGTGCTCAGGCAGCTCGAGCTTACGACCCAGATCAGATCGGTCAGGACTCGGACGCAAAGGAGGACTCGATTCACAACACTATAGAGCACAACCGCGGCATGGCACATCGCAATTCAGCGCGGCGCAGCGCAGCACAGCCCTCGGCACGGTACATCAAGATCGATACACTCATCATTGCATCTGCCCGTCGCCTCAATCAGGTGTGTCTGACACGTTGCCACGTCTTACATTTCTACATTCCTTTCCGGGTTCGTGGGTCGATCGTGTCGTCCAACATCTGCCTATCAGGGGGACACGCCCGACCTGCTGCTTGGGGCCTCGGGGAGAGGCTGGCCTCCCAGGCGCGCGGGCGGCGCGCGCCGCCCAGGCCGGCAAGGGCACGAGGCCGGGGCACCACGCGCAGCAGCTGCTGAGGGAGCGGCGCGCGGCCGCGCCGAGTGGGCCTCCTCGTCGCCGTCGCCGCCTCCCTGCACGAGCGGTAAGGGGTACGGAGAGAATGTCTCTCTCTCCTCTCTGCGTCTCTCCTCCTCCTCCTCCTCCTCCTCCTCCTCGTCCTCCTCGTCCCCCTGCTCCTCCTCCTCCTCCTCCTCCTCCTCCTCCTCCTCCTCCTCCTCCTTCCCTCCTCCTCCTCCTCCTTCCCCCCTCCCTCCCTCCGATTTGGGCCCACGATCTGCACGAGCGGAATGGGTACCGAAAGAATGGGTACGGTGCCCAGCAGCGGTTCCTGTTCACTTTGAGCAGGACTCGCTGTCCGCGCCGCCGCGGCCTGTGTCCATTTGAGACAGAAGGCCGCTTGCCCAACAGCGGCCGTTGCTGGTTCGGGACAGCATTTGTTGTCGGGCATTGTACCTATTCTTTCCGTGCCCATTTCGGGCGTCCAAATCCTCGGCGGCGGCACTACGAGGGGGGTGATGACTAGTGGGGGTGGTATCTATCAGGCGATCGCAAACATGGATCAAGGGGGCGTGGATCAGCGACCGGTCCCGTTTCCACGGGAGATCGCGCATTTCCGCCACCGAGCGATGCGGCAACGGCCGCATTTTGGGAAGGGTACCTCCCCCGATCCATGGATTTGGCGACCGCGCGCCAAATCCATTTGTCGCTAATCCATGTTTGTGCGCCCCCGAATCTAGGGGAACTGACAATGACATAAACATACAAACTCGGAGGTCCGCGCGGATTTCTCGGATCGGCGCTACACCCCCCTGGCGGCGCCTCGGGCGCCGCCATTGGCGCGCTCCGCGCGCCAGGGAGGGGGGTCCAGCGCGGATCCAAGAAATCCGCGCGGACCTCCGAGAGTTCATGTAATGTTTCGCTCCCCTTCTGGGGGGGGTGGATATCATGGCGGGGGCCCTGGTATCTCCCCAGATTTCATGGCGCCTCTTCTTCTTTGATCCAGTCCGCGACCCCGCCCCCCCTGAGCCGCGCACGTGTCGCCGGCCAGGATTTGCGCCCCCCCCTCTTGGACGCCCCCCTCTTGGCCGACCCCGACCTTCGTCGGCGCCTCGTCCTGCCCCTCGGGCTCTCCGGTGACCGAGATGGGTACGGAAAAGGCACCCGTACATTTACCCTTCCCTCGTTTCCCTTCTTCGTCAGGCGTCCTGGGAGGCCCTTGTCGCCACCGCTGGGTTCGCCTCGAGATGCGGGTCAGAGCGCACCCCTGGAGAGTTCCGGGGAGTAGCGGCATCGGTACGTTTTGCTTTCCCCAGCTCCCTCGGCGCGACCGTACAGGCGGCCCGGATTAGTAGGTCGACCCTGCCAGATCAAGGGTACCCTCGTGTCTTGTGTCTTGCGACCAATGCCTCCTGCATTTCTGTGGCAGCGTGGCCCTCGGAAGGGTCTTGAGTCCTCTCGCGTGTCCGCTCCAATCAAGTCCGACTGTAGCGCGCTTCATGCGCTTGCCTGCGCGCCTCAAGTCTCAAGAGCCGCAGGGCCGTCCCCATTCCCCTCTCGGGGCGGGGAGAAGGGGGGCCAGAAGCGGGTTCCCGTGCCATGTCTTCACGTGCCTATGGTTTCGGTTGGCGTGCGGTGATGGTATGCAAGTTGTCTGGCCAGCACGAGGACAGCGACGTCCCGAAGACGTGCGACGTGACCTCCGCAGCCTGAATATCCCAAAAGGGGAGTTGGGTGGAATCTGCCGCAGCAGGAGGTGTTCATTGACAAAATTCATGCGGGTAGGTTCGCTCTTGAACGAACGATGTGACAGAAAGTCATCCCTTCCAGATGAGAAGAGAGCGAGAGGGAGAGAGAGAGAGAGGATGATGATATGATGGAGTAGCAGTTGCAGTAACCAGGCTATGGGTTGATTACTTTGGCACGCTTCACAGCATCAAAGCGGGGATCCCAGCCCTCCGATGTTGGTTTGTTGTTCATTCAGGGCGTCCTGTAGCTCTCGAAAACTTCCACGGCACACGTTTTTTATCCGGCATTGGTTCATTTTCGCAGAACCCGAGAGCGATTTCCACACGTTCAAGTGTGTGAGGACTTTCAGTCCTGAAGTTTCAAGACGTTGGGGATGTGGGCAATAAGCTTTACAGCCTAACAGCGGGGATGGCGGTCCAGAGGAGTGCATGGGCCTCATGGACTTGAAGGACATGAAGGCCAGAGCTGCGCCGGGCGCATCCGTGCTCGCGGTGCCCATGGTATCGGCCCAGGCGAAGGGGCATCCCGATCAGAGTCTGGGGCAATGAGAGAGGCCGATCAGCAACGGGGGGACGCATTGATCTCGAAACATCGATGTATTGCCCACAAGTCGCAGATGAATAATGGCTGCAGGCAGTTGGCGCGCAGAGTTCTCTCGCACCATGAAGTTGGATTCGATGGCCAAGTTCCGCCGACTCGCCAGCGCCGACGTTCATTATAGAGGTTACTGAAACTTAGCCAAGGCATTAGGAATTCATCCGTAAGGACTTCGCCCCCTGCCGCCGGCCCCCTCTCTCGGAGAATGGGCCATGGAAGAGAGAAGTCATGAGGCTTTCGCTTCGCCGTGAAGCAGTGTCGGGACCTGTTTGTTTTTTCAACCCTGACCCTACGGATCTGCGTGAGGGGTGCCGCCGAATTTCAGAAATGTGGCAAAACCTTTTGTTTTTCCCAACCATCCTGTGGTGTTGGGTCCTCGTTTTGAAGAGACGTCGCCCCGCGTTCCTTCCTTCCTTCCCGCTGCCCCCTCCCTCCTCCCATCTTCATCATCATCGTCATCATCCCCATCATCGTCATCGTCATCATCATCTGTCTTCATCATCATTATCACCACCCATGTCGGCACACCCCTCACACGTTTCGTGACCCCATAGGGAGCTCCACCGAAGGTCCCAGTGCGTGTGCCCGCATGCGTCCCGCACACTCATTTCGGCACACCCCTCACACGTTTCGTGGCCCCATAGGGAGCTCCACCGAAGGTCCCAGTGGGTGTGCCCGCATGCGTCCCGCACACCCATTTCGGCACACCCCTCACACGTGTCCACCGAAGGTCCCGTGGCCCCAGGCACACCCCTCACACGTTTCGTGGCCCCATAGCTCCACCGAAGTCCCAGGGGTGTGCCCAGCCCGCATGCGTCCCGCACACCCATTTCGGCACACCCCTCACACGTTTCGTGGCCCCATAGGGAGCTCCACCGAAGGTCCCAGTGGGTGTGCCCGCATGCGTCCCGCACACCCATTTCGGCACACCCCTCACACGTTTCGTGGCCCCATAGGGAGCTCCACCGAAGGTCCCAGTGGGTGTGCCCGCATGCGTCCCGCACACCCATTTCGGCACACCCCTCACACGTTTCGTGGCCCCATAGGGAGCTCCACCGAAGGTCCCAGTCCCGCATTTCGTGTCCCCATAGGGAGCTCCACCGAAGGTCCCAGTGGGTGTGCCCGCATGCGTCCCGCACACCCATTTCGGCACACCCCTCACACGTTTCGTGGCCCCATAGGGAGCTCCACCGAAGGTCCCAGTGGGTGTGCCCGCATGCGTCCCGCACACCATTTCGGCACACCCCTCACACGTTTCGTGGCCCCATAGGGGGCTCCACCGAAGGTCCCAGTGGGTGTGCCCGCATGCGTCCCGCACACACATGTCGTCCCACCCCTCACACGTTTCGTGGCCCCATAGGGAGCTCCACCGAAGGTCTCAGTGGGTGTGCCCGCATGCGTCCCGCACACCCATTCCGGCACATCCCTCACACGTTTCGTGGCCCCATAGGGAGCTCCACCGAAGGTCCCCGTGGCGCAGTCCACATGCGTCTCCTTTGCCCAGTACAGCGTTACGTGGCCCCATATGGAGCCCCACCGCAGGTCCCAGCCAGCCAGCTAGCTCTCTTTGCTCCGCGCAGCGGGCGACCCGCGCGCGTCGCTGGGACTCCTCCGGGGCGACCTGCGCGCGTCGCGGGGGCTCCGTGCTGCGTTCCGCCCAGCGCCTCGCTCGCCCGTCGTCGCTCTGCCCAGCGGCAAGAGCCTTGCCCGCTATCAGCCAGCCAGCTAGCTCTCTTCGCTCCGCGCAGTGGACGACCCGCGCGCGTCGCTGGGACCCCTCCGGGGTGACCTGCGCGCGTCGCGGGGGCTCCGCGCTGCGCTGCTCCCGCAGCCTTGGACTTTTGAGTGCGCGGGCAAAGAGGGAGTAAAGGAAGGGGAGGAAGCGGGCGCGATCCTCGCGGGGGGGCGCGCCGACATTGGCGTCGCGGCGCGCGGGCGATGCCGTCGGGGAGTCCCGGGGAAGCTCCTTGCGGCGGCCACGCCCAGCGTCACGAGTATTCAGAGGCAGTCGTTGTCAAACTATTGGCATTCATACACATTTGCACCACGCTTTGTCATATTCGCATTCATGCACGTAGACTCGCTCGCACGCAGATCATTCACAGTCAGACGCACGCGCGCAGATTCACCCGCGCTCAGTCTCCCTACGTACTCAGATCAATCGTTTTCGTTCACTTTGTGTACCACGCCACTCATGTCGGCACGCCCCTAGCACGGTTCGTTGCCTCATAGGGATCGCCACCGAAAAAATGAATCACTATTGCGGTACTCGCACCTGCATATGGTTGGGTCCCTCGTCAGGCTAATTGGACCCTGACCCCGCCGATCTGCGTGAGGGGTGCCGCGGAATTTTAGAAATGTAACAAATCCTAAGTGTTTTTAGACCCTGACCCCGCCGATCTGCGTGAGGGGTGCTGCTGAATTTCAAAACAGTTGCAAATCCTTACTGTTTTCGGACCCTGACCCCGCCGATCTGCGTGAGGGGTGCCGCGGAATTTTAGAAATGTAGCAAATCCTAAGTGTTTTTAGACCCTGACCCCGCCGATCTGCGTGAGGGGTGCTGCTGAATTTCAAAACAGTTGCAAATCCTTACTGTTTTCGGACCCTGACCCCGCCGATCTGCGTGAGGGGTGCCGCGGAATTTCAGAAATGTAGCAAATCCTTAGTGTTTTCG